TTTTCAGCAATAATGAGCCAGTACATTGATATTTTTATCTATAAATTAAGTAAGCAAATCACACTTCAAGCTACATTCAATCATATCCTTAAGTAAGTTACTCTAACTCTTCTTCGTTTTTATCTAAAAAATTGAGGAAATTCATAATTTTCAGCTCTTTGTCTGCTACGGGAGTGGATTATAGACATCCAGTACTTTGAAAACGTTGCGGTCAAAGGACGCTGTAGTGCCGTAGTAGCTTAAACATAAACAACTTTTTTTTAATACCCTTTAATGCTTGTCTGTATCTTAATTATCTGCAACTGTAGTCTTTTTAAGGTTTTTACTCCAGATTTTATGAAAAAAAAAAATACTTTAAAAAAGTGGGCAAAGTATATCTCCATAATGTATCTTTAACACTAAGCAATCATAACTGAGTCAGTAAGTAAGTAACGTTTATTAGACAATGTGGTATAACTACGTATGGTCTCAAATTTAAATTTTACAGAGTATAATATAAAATACGCAAAAGTTACAAATTAGTTGACAAAAATAGATTTACATTTGAAATCAAGAGAAAAATTAATTAATGAATGATAATAATGTATGAAAAAAAAAGTTAAACAAAAATAACGGTACAAAATTCAATATAAATTATATGAAAACAAAAAAAAAAAAAAAAAACAGAAAAAACAAAACAAATTTAAATTAAGTGATGGTCAAGTTGAATGTATTATTTTAAATTTATATAAATTAGTTAAAATTTAAATGAATCAGTTTAAATTTATGTGAATCCAGAGTAGAGTTTATAGATGTAATATGTGAGTGGTTAATCTAGAAGAATAAAGGGCATAAAAACAGTTACAGCCTGGGGAATAACATGCATTTAAAACTCTTGTCATTCTTATCAAGAATAAGAAGAATGTTGAATAATGACTGCTTAAAACTATGTATAAGTGGTGGTTTAAAAATATTCTGTTGGATTTGAATCATGAGCTTTGACGACTGAATAAGAAAAGAGTGTCTAAACGCTTCAGACCGGAAAATGGGGCCAAACAGATACTGCGCTGGGAGGCGAGAAGAGCGCCTTAGATCAGCATGAGAGCTAGCAATAAGATAGCTATGAGCTAGGTTAGGGGAGTACCTGTAAGCCAGAACAAAATACGAGATTACACCTAAAAAATAATCACGGTGTCCTGATACTGATAACCAGCCAAGTGCAATGCGAAAAAGTGTAACTTTTGATCTCCACCCTATTGTGCCATATACAAAGTGGACACAATAATTTAGGGCAGTATACAAGCGTTGGTTTGCTGTGGAGTCAATGCTATGGTATGCTACAGCCATATAATCGAATAAAGGAAATATTAAACTCTCAACAAGCTATTTCCTTAGAGAAAAAGTCAGAGCATGTTTACAGTATTTGAGCCCATACAGTGAGTGGTAGACTCAACTGGCAACATATGTAACGTGTTTACCCCAATTGAGGCTTTGAGTGAGCCAAAGGCCTAGATTTTTGACTTCGGTTTTATATTGAAGAAATGGTACCATCGATGAGCACACATGGTGTGTTAGAAAAGTCAATACGACTCACAAGATTAGTACCATCAAGAATAATGGGGATAATTTTAGGCTGCCTGAGTGTAAGACCATTTTTTTCTGCCCTATGCGCTATAGCCAACGAATCAGAGTTCACTTTGTCTACGCCAGACCGCAATTCATCCAGGTGACAAGAGTAGTAAATCTGTAGATCATCAGCATACATAGTGTATTTACAATGTTGGATAACCTGTGTAATGTCATTGACATAAATTTAAAAAAGTAAGGGACCCAATACGCTGCTTTGCGGCACACCAGCTGATGAACTATCCCAGTCAAAGAGAATGTTACCCCTCACAGCTTGGGAGCGACCAAATAAATAAGAAAAAAACCACTCCAGCGTACGGTCATCACAGTTTACTTTACGAAGCTTTTCAATCAGGCGTGCATGCGGGATCGTATCGAATGTTTTTTTTTAAATCAAATAATACTAATATGGTTATTTGGCGATTGTCCATTGCAACGCAGATATCATTTAAGACGCCAAGAAGTGCAGTGTATCTGCTATGCTTTGGACAAAAGCCTGTTTGATGTGGATTAAAAAGTTCATTGCATTCTAAGTAATTGTAGAGCTGGAAATAAACACGCCGCTCGGTAACTTTAGAAAGTTCAGGTGTCTTAGCAATTGGGCGCGTATCAGATGGCGAAAGTGGTTATCTTGTTTTGGCAAATAGAATAGTAAGAGCGCGTTTTTATAACACAGGAAAACGGGTTCAATAAAGGACTTATCAATAATAAAAGTTACAGGTTCCACAATATAGTTAATTGAAAGTTTTAGCATAGCAGCAGTAACACCATCAATTCCACAAAATTTCGAATTGCAGCGCAGAATAGCTGTGCGTATTAAAACAATAACGAACATATCAGCAATTAACCCAACTGAAACATTGAGAAAAAGATAGTGCAAGTAGAGAGCCTGCATTTAGGTATAAGAAGCCAAGCGATGGCATGTATGTAAAGATTTGGATTGCTTCTGATAGTGAAACTAATGAGCCACTAGTTTAAAAGAAGAAAAATAACTAAAAGTTTGTGATGTGTAAGAAATAAAATATTGTTTCCGAAAGATAAAAAGTAAATTTTTCTTTTTTTTTCTCAATAGGATTCAGTTGTTAAACCTCTTACAGCACTGTCCTTTTACCGTCCTTTAACCGCTATGGTTAAAAGGACTAGGTGTGGATAGGCCACATCTGTAGCAGATAAAGAGCTAAAGATGCAACTTTTCCGAATTTTTCGAAGAAAAATAAAGAAAAGTTAAAGTTCCTTACTTAAGGATAAGATTAAATATAACTTGAAGCGTGATTTGCTTAATTTTTAGATAAAAATATTAAGAAACTGGCTCGTTATCGCCAAAAAAATGATTTCCTATTATCTCGGCTTCCGTTGAAGCTAGACCAACTTTTTTATTGGAAAATCTGTGTTTTTGATGACAATTGAAAATGCGTTCGAACCAAAAAATTATATTGACAATTAACAAATGTATTTGAATTTGTTCAAGTTGACACGTTGTTCTCTCTCTTTTTTTTTTTTTTTTTTTTTTTTAATTAGTTTTTCGTTGAAAATTTGAGATGTTTTTATATATTATTAAAATATACATTAATTCCTAGTATACAACCACCTTGTTTTTCATTAATAAGTTGAACTCAAGCAATACGAGGTTTAATTGTTTAATTTACAACTTTATAAACTAAAAACTGCTGAATATTTTTTAACTTAATGAAATTTACTTTGTTAAGCGTTGCAAGCATTACAATTTTTTGTAGTTTCATTGATATTGATTCAAAAGTTTAGTTTTTACACTACTTTTAAGTTTTGAGGTAAAAAATTTTTTTTTGTATTCATTTGCTGTTTACTTGTTGTAAACAATTTATTTGCAGTTTGAAAAAAATTTTATCTTTTAAAAAATTTTGTAATAATGACTTAGAACTTTTTTTGAAAGTTTCTACGACGTCAAGACCAACAAAAAATTTTAAAAATTTGTATGAACTAGTAATTAAAAAAACATCCGTTGCCTGATCTAGAAAAAACTTATTTTCCTAAATTCTTGATAATATTTTACACAAAATATAATTTTTTCAAATATTTTTAACTTTGTCAGCCACATTTATGCTCCAAATACCGCACTATATAAATAAATTACAACCTTATCACATGTATCTATTAAGGTCAGAGTAGAAAAACGTTAAAAAATAGAAAGAACAGATATAGACATATTTTAAAAAAATGTCAAAAGTGCAATACTGATGATAATTATAATATACGTTAAAAGGAAGCGGGTAAAAAGTCAATTTTATTGACCCCTACTTTTAGTACACGACATTTTTTAAATTTTAACCGTGACTAAATTAAAATTGTAGACTAAGAACATAATTATTATAAACGTTTGGTCTCAGAGATAATTTACATTGAAAAACTAAAAAATAACATTAATTCAACCAGCGATTCACAAAGTTAAAGTTCAATTTTCCATTAATACATTGATAGTTGAATAAGCTGGTAATCAGTTTTATCTATTTACATAAGTTGAATATTTATGTACTAAGTAATATTTTTTTTAATCGTCAATTTAAACTGTGAAAACGATATTTCACTTTTTAAATTATGAGCCTTTCTGGTGTTTGTCTGCTACTAAAAATGCACCTAATAATTTCGTCGTTACTTTATACTTGTAATATGATACCTTTTTACAAGTTTTTACAGTAAGGAGAACTCATTCGTTAATTTCCAGTTCATGAAATATAACTTTGTTACATTCATTTTTAGAGAATTTTCAACGTTGTTTGCTCATAAATCTTGAAAGTTTAGTCATTGTTAACGTTTTGTCAATTTATATATGTTTTGTGTGACTTGCACGTAAGTATATTTACTAGCTTTGTATTGTTACAGTTGGGCTGGAAAGGATAGTCAATATACAGCTGAAATATTGTACACTTGGAATAAAGAATAATACTTTTTGACAATATACCATAAAATGCAATTACTTTATTTAAACGCATTTTTACTGTCGTTAGATTTAAACTTCTTCAATTTTTCCTTATTCCTTTCTCCTAGCCTAGCTTGATTAGTTATACTTAGTCCAAAGAGGTGGAAAGCACTGTAGCTAAAGGAGCCAATCGAAATAAATAAATTAATAATTTCTTAAACTTGATTGGTAGAGTACGGAGCAAATAACTTAAAGGGGCATAACATGATAGTTTGTATACTGAGCATTCAAAACTAGTAGTAAATTTTTCATTGGCTGAAAGAACACAATCAATTTGATGATTTTATCAACTTTCCGAAAAATACTGGACATTTCAAATAATAATCGAAGAATGTAATTAAAGGGTAGTTAGCCAAAATTAAGACTCAAAATACACATATTAAAACATTTGTAATGTTCCTTTTTATGTAACACATTCTATTACTATTAAAAGCCTACGTACTTTTCAGGAATACTGCTAAATCGTACAGGGCTGTATCATGATCATTTCCGTTCCAACGAGGAATTTGAAGCATATTTTCTGGGTGAAACTTAACACTCTCTGGATTCCAATCAATAACGATAACCTTAAAAAAAAAAACAAAAAATGAAAGGTTACATAAACCACACAATTTATACATAAAAATTTTAATGATTAGTCATGGCCGGAAAGAATAAAATAGTAGTTTGTATAGGAAAAATATTTTTATTAGAGAAAAGATAGACGAGAAGTTGCAGTAAAATTGTACCTAAAAGTATTTTATAATTGTTTTTAATTTTTAGCATGTGTATCACATTAGTTATCATTTTTCAATAGAATTTTCATCAAAAATTGTTAAGATCAAAGAAAATAAGTAATTTTTTTTGGTTTTTCCTGTAATGCAAAAATATTTGCGTTTCGTTTTTTTTTAACACATAATGAAAAGAAGAAAAGAACTTTTAAGTAATAAGATTTTCATCATCAAAATAGTTTTACCCAATGAATTCGTACTTGTAACAATCAAATAATGTTTTTAGATGTTTAATGATAACTAACAAAACAACGATCTAGAAAAAATTAAGCTTGACACCTATATGGTATTAAAGTTGAAAAGTCATCATAAAGTGTACTTTCTTTCTAGGTTTTTGGAAATCGAAGTTTAAAAATTTATGTAACTAATATTACAAAAAAACTAGCTTCTAACAGTTCTAATCGTAAACTTTTGCACCATAATCAGGCATGTAAAACGCGCTCAACATGACATACATTCAAGAAACGAATTTAAAAATAATTTTACTTTTAAAACATGTGAGCTGTACAAAAATGCGTTAATAAAAACTTTTTTGAAAAAAAAACTTTTCCAAAAAGTAATCATCATTACATAACCAAAACATTTAACATGCAGATTGAACAGATTATTAGACGCTAATTGAATATACAAGTAAAAGTGAATGATTAACACGTACGAATGTCACATTGAAATTTAGATGATATACATAACAATTAAAAATTAATGTGATTTTATTGATAAGTCAGTATTAATGCAAGTAATTTAATTAATCGATACATTCCTTTGCTCAGAAAATTGATAGTTCAGTTAAAACTACTAATTTGTAGAAAAATTGTCATATGTTGCCATTGACCTCAGTGATAAAATTTTTAACGCACATCCCTGGCAAGAAAGTAATCCAATTAAGCCCGGTCAAGGCGGAATTTTTTTTTTAAATTGCTACGTATGACAATTCTTCTAGAAATTTGTAGTTTTAACTAAAATATCAGTTGCTTAAGCAAACTTGTATTAGATGAAACGTGTCGACAAATTTAATTACTTACAGTATGATTCAATGTTTACTATCTGTACTATAATCAAATAGTTTGTAATTAGTGGAGCTGACTTTCTTTATAAAGGAAAAAATGATCGGTTTCAGAGTAATCATCTTGCCACAAAATCTGACAAGTAACTTTTTTACTACGCTTCAATATCTAAAATTTTACTTTTTTGCTTTAAAAAATTTTTTTTTTCCTTCAGAGTTATATATTTTTTTTTGTATTAAACTAATTATTTAGAAATAACGAAAAGCCAGAAGAATTCATTGCGTGTTCTGAGCTCATTTTTTTGATACTTTTGCTTTAAAAAAAAAAAGTAGTCAGAAGGTAGAGACCAGATCGTACTTTAGAAACTCTTATATTCGTAAAATCACGACTATAAAACCTTATTACTAATCCAACTATTAGTCGAACTTGTAATATGAAAACTTTATACTTCTCATTTTTTTCCATTTCAAACTTATTACACCATTCCTATATGCTCACAGCCTTATGATTAGTCACATTTCTCCATAATTATGAAACTCTTACTCGATATCAGTTTTAAGGGCTTATCTTTAAAAAAGTAAGACTTAGACATTTGGTATCAAAAAAATTTTTACATACTTGTTACCAACATATATTGCAAACGTTACCTTCATTCATTGTCACCTCTGCACTGTTTGTTTTAATATTAAAACATATTTACTTTGCCTTTTTATTTGTTAGTGTTCTTTTTCACCGGTCAAACGGCATACAAGAGTCCGAGACCTAGGCCACGTACATGAATATGGATGCCGTGTTTGGGGCCGTTTTACCTCTCTTCGGTGATTTGAAACACTATGAAGAGCCAGGACACAATGATAGTCATTACGGGCGTTTTGCTATTTGAGAATAGAACAAGCAGTTGCGCAGTTACGCCATTGCCAGGCGACTTTTATTTTGTTACTTTTTCGTCTCACGACTTTAGATTACGACTCAAAGCAGAGTACTCCGGTTCTCCTTTGATTCGCTTTTTGTAATCTTCTACTAAAATAAGAATATACTTTTTTGCAATTAAATCGACATTTCCTTGTTTTTAAAATCAAGAAGCACAAAACAAGACTTTTGGATTAAATTAAGTGCTATTGTTAAGTCGAAACTATCAAGGTAAGGGCAGGAATCGTAGATTCATTCTTCAAATAAATAAATTAAACTTTTATCATTATTATAGAACTTCTTTACTCTTGCTTCCTTGCCATAATAATTTACGAGTTAATAAAAGACGTTAAGAATAGAGAACGTAGCTTTATTCATTCATTGAATCCCATTCTTATATTTTGATTTCTTCCTGACACTGGGTCAACTGGGTCTACTAAAGCATCTTGGCTATTCATGTAACAACACCAAAATTATTATTACAACAAGACAATTATTGGCATTGACAAAATAGTGAACAATTTCTAATTACTTCCCGATTCTATCATTAACATTGTGTGAGTTAATGAAAGAAAGACTATGAATGAAAACAAAAAAACTCAAGGGTTCTTATACATCGCAGCCTGCTATGAGGGTTTCCTCACGACGTAAGGGCCCCCTACAACACAACTCACATTACTACTAGACCATAATGACAAGGATAAGGCAGGCAGAAAGAGCGCGTGGTAAGAATATTATGACAAGCAGCCACCACGCTGGTTACCCATTATATTTTTTTATGTTACCTGAAATGATTTTGTATTCGCTCTGAAGTTTATTTGTGTCTAAATTTCGATGGACATTAGCATTAAAAAAGGTGATGTTTAACATCTCTACAAATTCTCATTTGAATTTGTTGTTTTGTTAGTAAAGAAATTCTTACTAAAAAGAAATCAAAATTTTGATTGCAGTTGGAGCACTGATCGAGTTCTTGTTATGCTTAAAAACCAAACTCTTATGTTTATCCATGTGTGTGGTAAGACAACAATTGCTCTGAGCTACGTAATATGGTCTAGTTTGAAAGTGATGAATAACTTTTCATTACTTTGTTGATGTAAATAGTTGTCATGATACTATTAGTTCAATAGATATAAGATACACATATGTTAGCACTTTTATTGTTGTAATATGAATAGCTGAGATGCTCTGATGGCTCCAGCAGACTAACTATTGATTAAGTCATGCTGTGTGTACGTTTTCATAGTCACACTTCCACAGTCTTTGTAATGTATTTGTTTATTTTATCATTACTATTATTAATATTATTATTTTTATTGTTATTATTATNATTATTATTATTATTATTACTATTATTATTAACCTTTAATGTACTTTATACAGCTTCATAATAAAAAAAAGCATTGAAATATTAAAACTTACGTAAATTACTAATTATAGCTGTGCTATTTATTTTCAGCGTATTTAATTCACTCTTGAATTTTCATTTTTGTTTTGAGGAACCAGCCATAAGCTCAAAGGTTTTATTTACTTGAACTAACAGTACTCTATCAATTTAAATTTATTGATTTGGCGTTGTAGTGTAAAGTTTTACCGAATACGATGCATAAAGAAGTAGGATGCGTCATACAGAGAAATTATGTTCAACCTATAATATAAAATTCTGTCTAATTTCATGTAGTAGTTGCGAATTTAGTTCATCTTTAATCTTACGTCCCTGTTAGGGTCGTTATAATCCATGAGTGTCTTTAATTTGGTCTCTTTTTAAATTATTAATTAAAACTCGAACAACAAAAATTTAAGTTATCGATTAAACTTTTTTATTTTAGGATTGGTAATTTAAAAAAGAAATTTAATAAAAGACTAACTTATGTCTTGCCAGATTTAATAAATTTAATAAAGTAAGTAAAACTTGAAGTTCTGACGTAACCCAATACATACAACTAATAATGTATTAAATTTTCAGAAGGACCGACAAGTTATTCTTGCCACTGAATAAAAAACAACTATGGGTTGTGGGACTCATGCATAGAAGAAGCGAAGCTTCAACGAGCTCATGAAAGTGAGAAGGCTGCAGTGCGGCGCTGGTCAAGACAGTTATGAATGCAAGAGTAAGAAAGGCTGCAAAGAATTTCAGATAATTCTAGAAAAACATCCAACGTGGCTTCGGTCGTTTACTCAAAGGAATGTCACAATTGGTGTCACTGAGCAACAGTGTCTTTGCGTATTCTTTACCATTTGAATGCGGAGCACTTTGTATAATGGAGTGGAGTCAACGCGCGTGATAACAAAAAGAGAAACATTATTTTAAACGTTTTTAAATATTTTCTTTTGAAAGTTATACTTCTATAGGCACGTTATGTGTGAAAGTAAATCAACGGTTTCAGATTGGTGGAATTAAGAAGAAGGGGGATGGAAGAGGCTTTTGCGTCTTGCTTCCCCTTCGCCCTACCAGCCTTGACTTACTTCCAGTCCCCTGTGAACCACACAACGCCACCACACCATACCAGGCATGTTAAGGTTTGTGTTTTTTATTTCTTTTTCTTTAGAACAATTTAAAGACGAATAAAGAAAAATAATGCTTTATAAAAAAATAGAGCGATCAGTAAGTGTCCTGGGTTGTGTGGTGATTGGTGCTTGTGTTAGTATTATGTTCATTATTAATTAAGAAAGCAACCAGTAAGCACTCTGGATTTTATGCTAATTGGCACTTACGTTATTATTTAATGCTTTATAAATAAATAAAGAGACCAATAAGCGTTTCCATTGAGATTTAAGCCCCCAACTCCCTACACACTAGCCGAAGCTCTTATCTACTCTGCTGTGAGCAGTCCCTTCTAAAAAAAATACAATTACTGCACGCTATCTTGTAGTTAGTACAAAATT